ACGACAATTTGGATGCTGTGGCAGATATCCGTGGAAGTGGTAAGTGGCTTTGTGACAGAATCTTATGCAAACAATAAAAGCTTGAGTGGATAAACAATGCCTTCAGACAGTGCAGGGTCCCTCTTGAATCCAGGGACAACTTGTACCAGATGTGGTCTGGGTGGGTTCTGGAAACCCATCATGTTGTCAATTAAACCTGGAAACTGCTCACATTCCTTGCGATGCCATAGACATGTTCCTGGTTTAAAACATCCACATGTTGTTGGCAGCAAACAACTCCCTCACTCCATGACTGGCTGGCACTGAGGTTAGAGACATGAAGAATGCTTTTTCCTCTTGGCTCTATTTGGACTAAAAGTGAATCATGTTTTCACTGTCTGAAACCAGTTGAAAATAATAAACCATGAGAGAGGTTGGTGTTTTACAAAGGCTATTCTCCATCTATACATAGCTGTACAGAGTGAACAATTGTTATTGTAACTATGTGGTAACATTAAGTCCGACAAAATGACAAGGGGTAGTGCTCTGCCTTGAAGTTTGTTAAATCATAACAAAGTATATAACTGACCAGTATACAGTATGTCTGGTGTCTCTCCTTTTTAAATGGGTTTCCAGTTTCTGATAGGCTCCCCACCTACAGCCCCCCCCCCCCAACAACCACCAGGCCAGGATTGTAGGCACTAGGCCCTTGACCTCATCAACATGGAGACAGTGTGCTTTTCTTGGGGGTTCCCTCCTGACAAGGTACCCCTCCCATGTTGAGGGGGATGCATGTTCTCCCCCCCTACATCTTTCCTGGCATCAACTTCTATTGCTGTTCAAGGTAAGCTGGCAATTAATATTCACTTTCCAAATACAGGAGGGGTGCTAGCCCAGCGCGCCACTGTACACGCACAAATGAAAAATCACTGCACTCCCTTGTTTCTCAAAGCAACACTATATTAATTAAAAAACAGTCCATAAAAACAGCTAAATGGTACAAAGGTACATACAGGGGAGAGAGAGAGAGAGAGAGAGAGAGATAGGTAATGCGTGTTACCCATTTAGTTCAGTCCTTTGCCAAATCTTTGAACAAGCAAAACTGTGAGCTTATTCCTAGTTTAGACCTCTTTATTTTTCATTATAAGTTTGAATAATTGGTTTTCCAGTGTTATTTCACCTTCTTGTTTTTCAGGCTACAGCTATTTCTTCAAAGATCAATACTATCATGAAATGGAAGATAGAATACTAAAGATTGTTAAAGTTGGCAATATTAAAAATGATTGGCTGTCATGCTGAAGGGTATATTTTTACATTTTTCAAATAATGATTTTTTTTATCTATTCCAGACTACATGTGTATGATTTTTTTACGTTGCTGGTTAAGGAATTGTTGTGAAGGACCAGTCTGGTACTGGTATAATGACAGTGCATGCAAATGCACCTCATTTTTGTGTTAGAAATATTTAATGTATTGTGTGCATGGGGGATGTTTTAAGAACTTTAACAGATATAGACAAACATGGCATTGAGTGTTTTAATACTGTTATGTGAAATATTATTTGGGCCAGATTTACATTTTTTCGTTGGATACATATTTAATTTCTGTTTTGAAATGGAACAGCATTTTTGAAATATGCTGTTTTCAATGTGCCATTACCATGATAGTAAATAGTCATAATAGAATACATGCAGATAGGAATATGCTGCTAATATACAGTATATTTTAAAGATCTGTACTGTCTATTGTTACAATGTACTGTATGTATTCTAGACATAAACATGAAGGATATGCTTTACATGTTGGAAGAAAATGTAAGCACAGTTAAAAGGCTCTAATATTTAAATATGGGTAACAATTGTGGTACTAAAGCAGTATTTGTAAATTGTCCTATTTTTTCTATTGGTTGAATAAAGCAAATGTGTTAAGATATACAGCCTAGATACTGCACTACTAAAAAGATTTTGATTATCAGAATAAACAGTCTCTTTTATTTATTTTTGCCTGACTTTGTTGATTTTTCAAGTAGACCACATAAGTCTGGATTAGGGGGGCAAAACCAATAACCAAGAAACCATTTCTTGTGCCTAAAAATAAAATGCTGCAATAACTATCATCAAGAGTACTCCTGTATTGCTAGTATTTTGTAGAGATATACTAGTGGTCTTGGCTGAAAGGGATTGTAAATATTTGTAAATAAAAGTGCAGCGCTAGAAAATAACAAAAAATCAAAAATCAAAGCACATAGAGTCAATAAAAATAAGTCCACAAAAAAGGGGGAGGGGGGGAGGGAGGGGAAAGGCCCTAGGCCAAAAAAAGTCTCAAAAAAGAAGGACGACTTCAAATGCCCATACACACTGATCAGAGGTGTATGCACTGTGGTAGAGATGGAGTTGAAGATGTAGTCAGGGAACAGAGGTAGATGTAATCCCCGGATCAATGAAGATCCCCAGATCAAGGAAGCACACGTTCCACAAGACAGCAAGGAAGCAGTCACAGCTCCACCAAAGAATACCACCACTCCTTCACTTCATATCAGCGGCATCTAGGAGGAGATACTGTCCCTAGTTTGGTCAAAAAAGGAAGAGCCATTCATCTGAAATCCTCTCTGCTTTCCTGAATTTCCTGAATGGCTCTTCCTTTTTTGACCAAACTAGGGACAGTATCTCCTCCTAGATGCCGCTGATATGAAGTGAAGGAGTGGTGGTATTCTTTGGTGGAGCTGTGACTGCTTCCTTGCTGTCTTGTGGAACGTGTGCTTCCTTGATCTGGGGATCTTCATTGATCCGGGGATTACATCTACCTCTGTTCCCTGACTACATCTTCAACTCCATCTCTACCACAGTGCATACACCTCTGATCAGTGTGTATGGGCATTTGAAGTCGTCCTTCTTTTTTGAGACTTTTTTTTGGCCTAGGGCCTTTCCCCTCCCTCCCCCCCCCTCCCCCTTTTTTGTGGACTTATTTTTATTGACTCTATGTGCTTTGATTTTTGATTTTTTGTTATTTTCTAGCGCTGCACTTTTATTTACATTTATGTGAGGAACTCTTTTGGTTGTCCTATGTGTTTCAGCTGCTCGTCCTTTAAAGCGCTCACTCATTTTCATTGATTGTAAATATTTATTATAATAAACATCCAGGTTAGTTTTATAAGGGGTAGCAAAACATACAATCTACACTTGTCCTACTTATTTTCTTTTCCTGGCTTATTTGGACACCTTTAGACACTTGTAGGTAAATCAAAATCTTGTATCTTGTAGGTAACCATGTAGGTTGATCAAAAAGGGGTGTGTGAAGCTGTAAAAAGTGTCACTAGACGCTCTGCAACTCAGGTAGCATGTGCCACTACTTTTTCACCTACTAACTGGTAGAAGGTATGGCCCAATATAAGGTTAGCATAGTGTTGATAGTTAGAATAATGACCATTGCTTGTTGAAGGCCTGGACGACACTTGACGAAGCCTGCTGGCTGTGTTTTTTGGAAATGGGGAATCCATTAGCTTTTTGCTTGCATTACCAGAAGAATGCTGTTTATAAAGGAAAATTATAAGTAGCGGTTTGTGTTTTGAATCGGTTCCCTGAAGTAGTGTTTCTCAGCTAGACTTTTTGTTGGTATAGAGTCTTATAGAGACTATACTGTGCAGCCACATACATCCTAAGCCCCCAGGGTAATTGCTTTGAAGAGTCCATGTTTTTACACCTTTCATAATCTGTTCTGTAATATTCTGCATGCTCTTTGCCATTGTGACTAGAGATGAGCGAAGTATTCAAAAATTCGATTTGACTGATTCGGCGAATTCGTGGAAAAATTTCGATTCGAGTCGAATATATTCGCTGTGAATTTAACTTAAAAAAGGGTGTTTCTAGGCTTCAGAGAGACTTAATATTAGTGCAGAACACTGTACCTTTAATTTAAATGCCCTTGGAGTCTGCTGGGGAAGAGAAATAATACTGTCAGTCAGTATGACATGCAGATGAGTGCCGTCGATCTTAGAATCACCGCACACTTCACTCATTTGGGCAGTCACGGGGCCAAAACCAGAGTGTGGAGCCACAGTGTGGCGGTGGAGGCAGCAGCAATGGGAGGCCATACAGCACCCTATGACAAAAAAATGGAAACCACCAGCAGTGTGAGGAGGCCTGAAAGTGGCACATGGCAGAGTGTGGCGATAGAGACAGCAGCAATGGGAGGCCGTACAGGGACCCATGACACACTCTGGACCTGGCAGCAGCATGAGGAGGCGGTACAGGGGCCCATGACAGATTATGGGCCTGGCAGCAGCATGAGGAGTCGGTACGGGGGCCCTGGCAGATTACGGGCCTGGCAGCAGCAATGGGAGGCCGTACAGGGACCCATGACACACTCTGGACCTGGCAGCAGCATGGGGAGGCGGTACAGGGCCCATGACAGATTACGGGCCTGGCAGCAGCATGAGGAGTCGGTACGGGGGCCCATGACACACTCTGGACCTGGCAGCAGCATGAGGAGGCAGTACAGGGGCGCATGACAGATTACGAGCCTGGCAGCAGCAACTTGGACAGGAGGACGTTCAGCTTCTGCACCGTCGGGTGCGTGCTCGCAAACTGTTGTCTCTTGGAAACGGATTCCAAGAAAGACTGCTGACGGAATCCGTGAAGAGGAGTAGCAGGAGAAGGAGCATCTGAACGAGCGGAATATGCCAACAAGCGACAACAGGGGCCCATGACAGATTACGGGCCTGGCAGCAGCATGAGGAGTCGGTACAGGGGCCCATGGCAGATTAGGGGCCTGGCAGCAGCTATGGGAGGCCCGTAATCTGCCAGCACCCTATGACAAAAAATGGAACCCACCAGCAGTGTGAGGAGACCTGAAAGTGGCACATGGCAGAGTGTGGCGATGGAGACAGCAGCAATGGGAGGCCGTACAGGGACCCATGAGAGACTCTGGACCTGGCAGCAGCATGAGGAGGCGGTATAGGGGCCCATGGCAGATTAGGGGCCTGGCAGCAGCTATGGGAGGCCCGTAATCTGCCAGCACCCTATGACAAAAAATGGAACACACCAGCAGTGTGAGGAGACCTGAAAGTGGCACATGGCAGAGTGTGGCGATGGAGACAGCAGCAATGGGAGGCCGTACAGGGACCCATGAGAGACTCTGGACTTGGCAGCAGCATGAGGAGGCGGTATAGGGGCCCATGGCAGATTAGGGGCCTGGCAGCAGCTATGGGAGGCCCGTAATCTGCCAGCACCCTATGACAAAAAATGGAACACACCAGCAGTGTGAGGAGACCTGAAAGTGGCACATGTTTGGGGCATGATTCATGGCGGATTTAGTCAGTTGTGTCAGGAACTGGTGGTTTGAAATCCAGACTAATCCACGCCTGATTCATTTTCACAAATGTCAGTCTCTCCACACTTTGGGTGGACAGTCGTGTCCTCCGCGGAGTTGCAATACCTCCTGCCGCACTAAACACGCGCTCCGATGCCACGCTACTGGCCGGGCATGACAGCCTTTCAAGGGCAAATTCAGCTAGTTGGGGCCAAAGGTCAAGTTTCGTTGCCCAGTAGTCAAGGGGATTGTCTACCTCGGTTGGCAGGGTGCTGTCCAAGTAGGCCTAAGCCTGTTGTTTGAGGTCCTGCTCCAGGTCCACCTGATGCTGCTGCTGCTGCTGCTGCTGCTGCGGCTGGTTAGTAGTTTCCTCACTGCGCTGGTGAAGAAAGCTACTCATCATCGACTGCAGACTGAGGCAGGCAGCTGCTGCTGGTGGAGCTGCCACTGCTCCTACCACCCCCACCCCTCCCCTGCTGCCATGGCAGCGGAACGCGAGCGCACAGGGCCCACAGTGTCTGAGGATGGACGTTGGCGCAGACAGGCAGAGACCAGCTGACTACATAGGTGGTTTTTATAGTACGTTATTTTGGGCCTCCCTCTCAGCAGGTGTGAAAAAGGCCACCATTTTTGAACGGTAGCGAGGGTCCAACAAGGTGGACAGCCAAAAGTCATCCCTCTGTCTGATGGTTATTATTCGGCTGTCGGTACGCAAGCAAGCGAGCATGCTATGGGCCATTTGTGCCAAGGAATGCGAGGACTCCCTGCCTCCATCTCCACAGCATACTGCCACGGTGCGTCTGGGTCCTCTGTCTCCTCTTCCTCCTCCTCTACCAGATGCTCCTGCTCCTCCACTCCTGTCCGCTGAGTGGAAAAACCACCCATTTCACTCAATAATTCCTGAGCACCAATTCCTCCTCTACCTCCTCCTCTTCTTCCTGTCCTGCCCCCACAGGGGTCATGTGGCGTTGAGATCTGTGCGCCACGTCTACCGCACCCTGACCAGCATTGTTAACAGCATTTGTTCCAGACGTTGCAACAGAGGAATGACGTCGTTCATCCCCATAGTCCTGCCGACTCACGAATAGCGTGGCTCCTCAAAGGGCCTGAGCAAGCGCAGGTGTCACGCATGAGCTGCCAATGGCTGACATCTAAGTTACACAGGATACCTTTATCCGCTTTTAAACATCAGGAAATCTGTGATGGCCTTTTTGCTGTTCCGTAAAGGCGGTCTAACATATGTAGGGTTGAATCCACCTTGTTGCAACGTCACAGCAATGAGGAAAGTCGGTATGGGGGGCCCATGCAGATTACGGAGCCTGGCAGCAGCGATGGAGGCACAGTAATCTGCCAGCACCCTATGTCAAAAAATTTCAACACACCAGCAGTGTGTGAGGAGACCTGAAAGTGGCACATGGCAGAGTTGTGGCGATGGAGACAGCAAATGTTCAATGGGAGGTTTCGTCAGGGGGACCCATGAGAGAACTCTGGACTTGGCAGCAGCATGAGGAGGGCGTAATATAGGGCCTATGGCAGATTAGGGCCTGGCTGCAGCTATGGGAGGTAATCCCACACGCATAAAAAAATCAACACTAATAAGCCAGTTGAGTTAGGCAGCTATGTCCAAAAACTGAACACACCAGCAGTGTGTGAGGAGGACCATGAAAGTGGCACATGGCAGAGTGTGGGCGGATGGAGACAGCAGCAATGGAGAGAGGCCTACAGGGGCACCCATGACAGAACTCTGGACCTTATTGGCAGCAGCATGAGGAGGCGGGTATATATAGGGGCCTATGGCAGATTAGGGGCCGGCAGCAGCATATGGGAGGCCCGTAATCTGCCAGCACCCTATGTCAAAAAATTCAACACACCAGCAGTGTGTGAGGAACACCTGAAAGTGGCACATGGCAGAGTGTGTGCGATGGAGACAGCAGCAATGGGAGGCCGTACAGGGACCCATGAGAGACTCTGGACTTGGCAGCAGCATGAGGAGGCAGTATATAGGGCCCCATGGCAGATTAGGGGCCTGGCAGCAGCTATATGGAAGCCCGTAATCTGCCAGCACCCTATGAACAAAAAATTCAACACACCAGCAGCAAGTGTGAGGAACCTGAAAGTGGCACATGGCAGAGTGTGGCGATGTAGACAACCCACCGATCTGTTTTGCTCGCTGCCAAGCTGCCACCCTCTTCTCCTGATGATGCGGAAGCAATAGCCCTGATGACGACGAGGCTGCCAAGTGCGATCAGCCTCATCATCATCAATTAGGGTCTCCGCCTCACTACTAGCCCCCCGGCTGCGTGTGTGGGTCAGGAGAGCTACAGACCTGTCTCTACACCGGCTACCGAGCCACTCTCCTCGCCACTACTTCTTCGCCTGGCTGCTGAAGAGGCGGATGTCTCCACCCCATCCGTTCCTGACCCGCCCTCTGTTAGCTCTTCCTCACTGTACTGGATGACACCGGGAGCACTAGCCTCTGGCTGCGAATAGTGCTGCCTCGACCCCTTCCTCTGCTGCCACGTCTGCTCGCTCCTAAAACATGCCTCCTCTGCCACTCCTCTGCATGTTGTCTGACATACTCTTTTATAATTAAACGATTCTGTGTCCCTGAGTAACGTTTCTGTGGCCCTAAGTAACAGTTCTGTGGCCCTAAGTAACAGTTCTGTGGCCCTCAGTAACAATTCTGTGTCTGTCCCTGAGTAACAAATTCTGTGTCCAGCTCAGTAACAATTCTGTGTCCCTCAGTAACAATTCTGTGTCCCTGAGTTAAACAATTCTTGGCCCTCAGTAACAATTCTGTGTCCCTCAGTAACAATTCTGTGTCCCTGAGTAACAATTCTGTGTCTGTCCCTGAGTAAGAATTCTGTGTCTGTCCCTGAGTAACGTTTCTGTGGCCCTAAGTAAAGGTTCTGTGGCCCTCAGTAACAATTCTGTGTCCCTGAGTAACAATTCTGTGTCTGTCCCTGAGTAACAATTCTGTGGCCCTAAATAACAGTTCTGTGGCCCTCAGTAACAATTCTGTGTCCCGAGTAAACAATTCTGTGTCCCTCAGTTAACAATTCTGTGTCCTGTCCCTCAGTAACAATTCTGTGTCTGTCCTGAGTAACAATTCTGTGTCTGTCCCTGAGTAACAATTCTGTGTCCCTGAGTAACGTTTCTGTGGCCCTAAAGTAACAATTCTGTGGCCCTCAGTAAAAAATTCTGTGTCTGTCCCTGAGTAACAATTCTGTGTCTGTCCCTGAGTAACAATTCTGTGTCCCTGAGTAACGTTTCTGTGGCCCTAAGTAACAATGCTGTGGCCCTCAGTAAACAATTCTGTGTCTGTCCCTGAGTAACAATTCTGTGTCTGTCCCTAAGTAACAATTCTGTGTCCCTGAGGTAACGTTTCTGTGGCCCTGAGGTAACGTTTCTGTGGCCCTAAGTAACAATTCTGTGGCCCTCAGTAAACAATTCTGTGTCTGTCCCTGAGTAACAATTCTGTGTCTGTCCCTGAGTAACAATTCTGTGTCTGTCCCTGAGTAACAATTCTGTGTCCCTGAGTAACGTTTCTGTGGCCCTAAGTAACAATTCTGTGGCCCTCAGTAACAATTCTGTGTCTGTCCCTGAGTAACAATTCTGTGGCCCTAAGTAACGGTTTCTGTGGCCCTCAGTAACAATTCTGTGTCCCTCAGTAACAATTCTGTGGCCCTCAGTAACAATTCTGTGTCTGTCCCTGAGTAACAATTCTGTTGCCCTAAGTAACGGTTCTGTGGCCCTCAGTAACAATTCTGTGTCCCTGAGTAACAATTATGTGGCCCTAGGTAACAGTTCTGTGTCCCTCAGTAACAATTCTGTGTCCCTCAGTAACAATTCTGTGTCTGTCCCTGAGTAACAATTCTGTGGCCCTAACTAACGTTTCTGTGGCCCTAAGTAACAGTTCTGTGGCCCTCAGTAACAATTCTGTGTCCCTGAATAACGTTTATGTGGACCTAAGTAACGGTTCTGTGGCCCTCAGTAACAATTCTGTGTCCCTGATTAACGTTTCAGTGGCCCTAAGTAACGGTTCTGTGGCCCTCAGTAACAATTCTGTGTCCCTCAGTAACAATTCTGTGTCTGTCCCTGAGTAACAATTCTGTGGCCCTAAGTAACGGTTCTGTGGCCCTCAGTAACAATTCTGTGTCCCTGAGTAACGTTTCTGTGGCCCTAAGTAACAATTCTGTGGCCCTCAGTAACAATTCTGTGTCTGTCCCTGAGTAACAATTCTGTGTCCCTAACTAACGTTTCTGTGGCCCTAAGTAACAGTTCTGTGGCCCTCAGTAACAATTCTGTGTCCCTGAGTAACGTTTCTGTGGCCCTAAGTAACAATTCTGTGTCCCTGAGTAACAATTCTGTGGCCCTAAGTAACGGTTCTGTGGCCCTCAGTAACAATTCTGTGTCCCTGAGTAACAATTCTGTGGCCCTAAGTAACGGTTCTGTGGCCCTCAGTAACAATTCTGTGGCCCTCAGTAACAATTCTGTGTCTGTCCCTGAGTAACAATTCTGTGGCCCTAAGTAACGGTTCTGTGGCCCTCAGTAACAATTCTGTGTCCCTGAGTAACAATTCTTTGTGCCCTAAGTAACGGTTCTGTGGCCCTCAGTAACAATTCTGTGGCCCTCAGTAACAATTTCTGTGTCTGTCCGAGTAACAATTCTGTTGCCCTAACTAACGTTTTCTGTGGCCCTAAGTAACAGTTCTGTGGCCCTCAGTAACAATTCTGTGTCCCTGAGTAACGTTTCTGTGGCCCTAAGTAACAATTCTGTGGCCCTCAGTAACAATTCTGTGTCTGTCCCTGAGTAACAATTCTGTGGCCCTAACTAACGTTTCTGTGGCCCTAAGTAACAATTCTGTGTCCCTGAGTAACAATTCTGTGGCCCTAAGTAACGGTTTCTGTGGCCCTCAGTAACAATTCTGTGTCCCTGAGTAACAATTCTGTGGCCCTAAGTAACGGTTCTGTGGCCCTCAGTAACAATTCTGTGTCCCTGAGTAACAATTTCTGTGGCCCTAAGTAACGGTTCTGTGGCCCTCAGTAACAATTCTGTGGCCCTCAGTAACAATTCTGTGTCTGTCCGAGTAACAATTCTGTGGCCCCTAACTAACGTTTTCTGTGGCCCTAAGTAACAGTTCTGTGGCCCTCAGTAACAATTCTGTGTCCCTGAGTAACGTTTCTGTGGCCCTAAGTAACAATTCTGTGGCCCTCAGTAACAATTCTGTGTCTGTCCCTGAGTAACAATTCTGTGGCCCTAACTAACGTTTCTGTGGCCCTAAGTAACAGTTCTGTGGCCCTCAGTAACAATTCTGTGTCTGTCCCTGAGTAACAATTCTGTGGCCCTAACTAACGTTTCTGTGGCCCTAAGTAACAATTCTCTGGCACTCAGTAACAATTCTGTCTGTCCCTGAGTAACAATTCTGTGGCCCTAACTAGCGTTTCTTTGGCCCTAAGTAACGATTCTGTGGCCCTCATTAACAATTCTGTGTCCCTGAGTAATGCTTCTCTGTCCCTAAGTAACGTTTCTCTGTCCCCATGTAACGTTTCTGTGGCCCTAACTCTGTCCCTAATACAGAGCGGTCTGCCTCTCTTGAATGACTGGAGGCAAATGAAGAATTCTAAAATGGCCACTATTTATAGCTCGACCATTACACAGTGCTGGCTGCCTGGCTGCTGATTGGCTAATGCGATCACATGTCATTAAGGAATGCATTATGGGTCAGCGCGCCTTGTCTGCGTGCCTTCCCAGACATCCCCGCTCTGTCGCCGCACATGTCCGCCGCCATTTTAGGAAAAATTTCGATTTGCGCATCCGAAGTAGGCTATTTTTCGGATTCGGCGCGAATCGAAAATTTTCCAATATTCGACTCGAATTCCACTTCGCCTACTTCGATTCGCTCATCTCTAATTGTGACCCTGTTTTGCATAGTTGATTTAATTTTGCACCTGTCATTAAACTGCAAATTACAGTTACCCTGCACCCTCTTTAGCTGAATGCATAGAAAACATCCAAAACAGGTGGAATTTGTGTACAGGAAGGAGTGATGGGTGCAGCAGGGGCCAATCACAAGAACCGATCCACTGAAAGCTGCTTCTCCTTGTCTCCCTCCCAAGACTTTTGGCTGCTACACTAAGAGCCATTCAGGGGTCAGTGCTTGTAATTGCCCCCCACAGTCAGATCACCCCTTATTGTCTGCTATTGGATCCCCCCCGAAGTCTGAGCCCTCTGTGTGCCCCCCCCCTTCCGTAGTGCAGCTGGCTTCCCTCCTCTCCTTTCTTCATCCGCTGGCTGCTTTGGGAATCTTCAGGATGGAGAGCAGGGAAAGGGGCAGGTAAATATGTCATTTACCAGCCCCTTCATTTTCTGAATGAACACAGTGAGTGATCGGTACCAATTATTCACTGTGTTCATTCATAAGTGAAGCCTAGTAAATTGTGTCTATGAATAAATAGGAGACACTGTTATTCATCTGTATTGCAGCTGAGGCTGCAGAGAAAGGAAATGGGGAACTTGCTTTCTCAGTCCCTTTCTCTGTCTCAGAAGTGAGACTGCGGGGGTCTGTTTAGACCCCTGGTAATACTCAAAAGCCCCACCCCCCAAGGCAAAGTAACATGTAAAAAAAAAATGAAACAAAAGAACTTTAAAAAATAAAAATTAAAAAATAATAAATTCATTTTTAAAAATGGGTTCATTCACAGGGGTTCTCTTGCCCATACAGTGTAAATAAGTAAAAAAAGGCTCACACTCATGCGCTGCTACACCCTAAATAAAAATAAACAAAGGAAGATTGCTGCACCCACTCACTAAGTGTACTCTCACTTAAAATTTATATAAACCAAGAATGTGTAGTGCGCTAAACTCCTCATCCAGATTTATAAATGAAATAAATAATCCTTCAGTAATCCCATGCAAGACAAATCCACACTGCAATAAAAGTCCAACTCCCAAATCATAGAATGTCCAAATTAGTGAGTTTGACAATC